GTCACAAGGGGAACAAAGAGTCCATTCCTACACGGATCAAGAGAATGGTTCTTGGACTGTTTCCATTACTTCAGAAGAAATACTGCTACCATTCATATATTGCCAATAATATAACTGCTACTCTAGCAACAAGAAAAATATGTTCCTTTGATTATACATTTCTATTTATGAAATGCATTAGATAACTAATTGCCTGTGATGGTGTGACAGTAGTTCTTCCTGTAATGCAATGATGCAGACCAAATAAACTGAATTTCATTTAATTAAAGCTTAAAATATATGAGAGCAACCATACACAAAGTAAGTTTTGGACTCCGTAATGCTGAGATTTCCCATTCATTTGAGCAGTATTCTATAAAAATACCATCACATCATGGGTCTCTGTTCTTATAGGATATTGGTATAATACTTAATTACAGGGCAGATGTAATACAGCAGCATTCCAGAGAGGAAAGAAGAATTTCACAAAATTCAGTCATAGCAGATACCCTGGGAAGATACCATAGTGGAAGAAATGCTGCAAGAACTCTCCCTTTTGTAACTGAGTATTATCTGGACTGAACTTTATTGAATCCTGAAATCTGGCCTGATCATTATTGTTGAAATACTGCTGACTGATCAACCGAAAAATCAGGGAGGGGAGGTTATGTTAGCTGTTTTGCTGTGAACACACACACTCTTCTGGCTTCATAACCCTCATCCAAATTAAGTAAAGAACTTCCTATTCACTCTGGGCTAGCCCTCTGCTCAAGCCAATGTGCCTTCATAGTTGAAGCCATCTATCTGAGTCATACTGCAATTTTTTTTTTTAATAAGGGATGTCTCATGCACCTGCTGTTTGGGGTTTGTCTCTTAAACTGTGTTTTGGCAAAAAACAATGTCAACAGCAAGTAAAAGATGATGTCGTTATGATAGGGTTATTGACTTGGATGTTAATTGAAGACATTGCTTCCCCAGACAACACAAAGTGATATCCAACCTCAAAATTTCATATCCCTTATCATTAAAAAAAGTGTTCTCAGACCAATGAGACCAGCTGTTCATATGCATCCAGCTGCTCCTCACCCTGACTTGAATATTTTATATATCCCAGAAGGCATTTAAAATCTGCAGCATCACTGTAGAGTTTATTGCACTATTAACTTAAAAACTACATCAGCTGTTGTATCGTAGTTAAATAGAAAATTTACTGTGATAGGTTATTGTTACAAGAAAAGAGAGTGCTGCTCTCCTTTGCTAATGTTCTAAGAGACACAAATGCAATTTCATTGATTTTTGGTAAGCAAAATATTAATAAAAGCTTTTTCTTTCACTCATAAGATATTTACATGGCTTCCATCTGTAGCTAGCTTTTCCAATGCAATTGCAAAATGAAGGAGTTAACATTGAACACACAATCTTTCCAGCACAACAGGGCACTTAAGAGCTATATCAATAAAAGTTACCGGGTTAAGAATGAGAAAGGACTAATGTTACAGCTATGGGGACACATACTTGCAACTATTTCAGGGGGCATATACCCAGTAGTAAATTAAACACACTCTGTTGACATGTTAGTTTAACACTTTTGCTTTATTGTACTTTTTACTACTTTAATTATTGTATTAGAGAATACCTGATAATATACTCTTGCAAAATTTCATTCACAATGAGAGCTAAATCAAGACCTCATTGTATTTCTCTTGAGACATTTGAAACCTGTGTGGACGACAACAGGGAATGAGAATCCTGGCCTTCTGCAGAAACTGGATCTGAAAAAGCATGTAGACAAGGAAACGTGAAATTATCAGCTTTGACCCCCAAACTAATAAAGTTTTCATCTCAAATATTCTGTGGTGGAAAGTGTCACAGACTTCATCAATGAGTCTGGCACTACCATATTCCCAATGCAAATAGGCTCAAGCAAGATTAAAAAAAGGATGGATTTTTCCTGAGAATGTTCCAAAACAAAGTTGACTTTATTCAAGCACAGTAGATGTTATTTGACCAACATCATCAGGAAAACTGTACGAGGAACAGCAAAGCACATGTAAAAGGATCATACAGTGCCAACTGTAGATAGATGTAGCAATATTCTTGATGAAGTAATAACTTTTGGGTTTAGTTTGGTTTTTTTTCCCTTAGGAGCCATCTTTCCCTTTCCAAACTCTTTCAGCATTGTTCATGGGATAATCATTATACTCTAACCTTTGCCTTCTGCAGGTACAATATCTGGCTTTCAAAGGCTCATCCTAATCTGTGTTGTGAAGCAAAGGGCAAGACTTAATCTTACAGTGCCACCCTGATTAATGGCCTGATTGACATTTCTTCTTGTACTCAGGGGGAGTGGTAGGCTTTGAGTTGGATGTTGAATTCATGAAGTGTATTTATTTCATATTTGCAAGAGTGATCTCTGACTTGGCTAGCTGCCCTAAGGAAAACAGGCTTCTGGAGCAACACCCAAGTGGTTGTACTTTAAACCTGAGATGGTGGAGTTTTACAGAAATAAATACCTGTATTGCATGACACTGGAAAGGTATTTTCAGAGATTTTTTTCTTTTATGAATAGATATGGCATGATCTCCAAGATCACTATAAGTGTTTCTACAGGAATGTGCTTCATCCTCTTTCTTTCATTCTCTGCTCACTTTCCTCTGTCAGCTTTTGTTGTTGTTTAGCACTTATTTAGAAACAGTCTAGCAAATATATTTAAATACAGTAACGAGTGTGTGGAAAGTGAATGCTGCTCTCATTAAACTGAAAATTTGTCCTCAGAATCCTCATTTTAAGTATTGTAACTCAAACTGAGGGCATCTGTGGCAGGTAAATATTATCAGTGTGAGTATGATTTATTGTCCATTACCATCATAGCTACCACACAGCTAGCTGTGCAACCTCGAGGACAAGGTATTGCACAATCATGTCATCCTTGCACAAGGCATATACATTCAGCATGACATACTCTCTGTGGGCATCTTTGAACTTAGGGCCTAGGCCATGAGTTATGTGAGCTCCTGATCCTTCAGAGAACACAGTATGAGGTTCTAGCACTAGCAGAGTAAGAGTGACCCAATGGTTTATGCCCTACTTCTCCTTCTACAGGGACAAGCCATATTTGGCATCTGTCCTGTTTAGAGACAGGCAAGATTCTGGTATCAAGCAGCATTATACATCTAAAAGTACTCTCAGTACCAACATCAGGGGTCAATATTGCTCTGACATTCACAGTTCAACACTTATGGTCTGTTCTTCCCTGTATAACCTGCTGCAGGTGATGACCTTGCATTAGCAAGGAAATGGAATAGTGAGTGTAGAAAAAGACTGCCTCACCTTACACAAAACACCCTGAATTTCTCTTTTCTAAAACTTTAATAGGAGAACGATGGTGCTATGATCCTGCTATTTTTGGCATTTGTCTCATGTAAGATTTTACATTATTGCTACCAGAAGTTTTCTCTCCTTGAATATTCTTGGTCAACAATGCACCAGGCAAGCACAACCCTGTATTAAACAGCTGCTTTCCAATCAGTCCACTAGGCTACAGCTTAAATTCGTAAGTAACACTTAACTGGAATCTAAACTGGAGTTGAATCCTAAAATCTGGTCTTCCAAACTAAAAACTGATGCACAAAAGAGAAAGGAAAGATGCAATTCAGAAAATATTTTATTGAGTACAATACCATTGCATTGTAGGCTTTCATCAAAGGTCTACTTTATAAAACACCATCAGCCTCTCTGAGGCTGAATACAGCTTGGGCAGGCAAACAAGGAATGGGAAAGAGAGGGGCAGCATCTGCAAATTTTCATGCAAACAGCATAATAGAGGATATTTGCATCCAGACAGTACCTTGTCATAGTGCCCAAGTTTGCACCATCTCACCAGAAAAAAAAAAATCAACATTTAAATTTTATGCAGGATTGTAACAATGCGTTACAACTTCAAATGAACAGAGGAGTGTTCATTCAACAGCTAAACTCAAGATCATAAAAAGAAAATTAGGAGCTCAGAATGAAAGTACCACAGTAACCCTTGTGTAGAAATGGGATTAATACTAACTCCAGAAACTGATGGCTAATAAGATGTCATAAAGACTGTAGACAAGGAGAGCTGTAATTTTTACCAACATACTGACATCTAACTTGCATTTTTAGCAGATGGAAGACCATAAAAGTTTCAGGAATTGGGGTTAATCCCACAACACACAAGTCTAATCAAGATTCGGCATCACGGTTCTTGGAATGAGAGTAGACGAGTAGTCCACAGGCAATTTTCAGTTGTATGAAGCATCTGTTCTACTTGTAGAAAACATCATTAAATGGGGTACAAGTGTGGTAATATTATATGAATGAAGATGCTGCTTGTTAGAACGCAGACCAACTAATTTTTCTGGTGCAAGTGGTCATTTTCAGTAATGGCAAAGCATAAGTGTGCTATAAAATGTAGGAACAGTCATAAGCAACCTTGAAAATGTCCCTATATTGCTTAAATTCTTCTCTCAACCCTCCTTTATGAAACATATATACATGCAGGGACTGTAGGAAGTTTTCAGGCTGATCACATTTCTGCAGCTAACTCTGGGTTTTATGAGCTGGTCCCCACAGAATCTTTAAAAATCTGCCATGAAACTTGCACGGTACTGCCAAAGAATTTGAGAAGCACTTGTTACAACAGTAAATATGAACGTAAGTACAGCAGTTAGTATGTCACATTACACATAGACTTCCATTGTTCTGTGGGTGTGCATGTCCTAACATGTATAAGCACCACCACTTTATCAGGAAGTAATTTTTATAAAGCAAGATGGAACAATTTGCTAACTACAACAATATTTTCAAATGAAAAAGAAATTATTAAACCACATTTTAAAGCAAAAAAAAAAAGTGGAAATGTAAAGTTTAGCATTAACAATTTTAGGAGAAAGTTGAGAATAGTCCAGACAGGCCAAAGTATTCAAAGAATTCTAAAAGGCTCTGTTGAAATGAATTTTTTATTAAAAAGACAATGTATTCTTGAGACAGCATCTTCTGCAGTGAAATAATTTAGTTTCTTCATATAGACACATCATACACAATGTTAACAACCATGAAAAACAATACAAAATGCTTTCAAATTTAACAAGTAGAAAAATATAACTAGTATATATGGCAATTGTGAATCTAATACTGTACAGAAGGATTTATGGATTTTACAAATAAATTATAGCTTAAATGCCCTTTTTAAAATTTCTAAATGTACACTGGAACATAGGTTCTGAAGCTTACTACTAACTTGTCACAAATGAGTGCCAGTCAAATGTTCTGCCCACAAGCTCAAAAAACTTCTTGTTGGGTTCATGGAAATACTCGTGTAGTTTCTCGAGTAACCAGGCGTCTACTTGTGGGTGTGCTCGTCCTTTTGACTCATGTAAACAACGCTCTCTACCACCGTCCCTTAGGCAGTAGAAGCCTTTAGTTTTATTGAAATAGAAGTTTGAAGCATTTATCTGAGGCGATAACTTCAAAAACCTCTCTACCTTCTCTATTTCTGGGAAGGGGTCTTTGATTAGTTTGTCCCCATCTACAATATGGATATGATCAAGAGGAAAATACTTCAGCCAGTTTTGCATGTGAATGTAGTATAAGCTTCGGTTTATTGCCTTGTAGTCCACATTGAGTTCACCACCTTTAATGAGGAATTGTTCAATGGATGGATACGGCTTGTGCTTCTGCATGTGATTATACAACACTTGGGTGTAATCTGATAGTACTCTCTCACTTGGGTCTCTTAAAATAAGGAGTAGTCTCATTGATTGGTTCATGTTATAAACTCTTTCAGGCACTTTAGGTGATGTGAAATATGCTGGAGTTTTTTCCACGGTGATCTGATGGGGATAAGAGAATGGCATTTGATTAATATACCACTGCAATCCATTTCTGTAATGATCTTCCCAGTCAAAGAAGTGAACTTCACTTTCTGCTGCTGCAATATCTGGATGGAGACTCAACATCTCTAACAAAGCTCTTGTTCCACCTTTTCTCACTCCAATAATGATAGTCTGTGGCAGCTGCTGGCATGATCCATTAGAATGAATGTTTTCCTTGAAGTCATTTTTTTGAGATGTTTTCTTTAAAAGCTCTCTCTGAACAGACTGAGAAGTCGTCTCAGACTTCGAATTTATAGCCGGTCTAGAAGGCACTATCTGAGGTTGAACAATAAGAAACACAGCTCCCAGCAGAAAAGCTGCCATGACAGAAGTTCTTAGTCTGGTTTCACTCAAGCAGGTAATGGGGCATAGAGTGATTTCCACCGAGAACAACCTTTAAAAGCTGTTTTTGTTTTGCTGAGTGAACATGTACTTCTCAAACAGAAAATTTGCTGAAAGAGGGAAAAGAAAAAGAAGCACGTTATTTTATACTGAGACACATCACTACTAAGGCCACACTGCAAGTACCTTTTGCTTTTCACAACGGAACGAACTTCTCTAGCTTTCCCAACTCTAAGCTCATAGATCATTTAGTATAGTTAAATGCTTTAAAAGACAAGTACATAAAATACTGCCATGAGAAAATTATTCCCAGTCATCAGGAGACGTGAACATTTCAAATCCTTCCATTGCACCCAAGATTGATCCAGAGTATTATTTATTACTATTTTAAAATGTGATTTCTTTGGAGTTGACCACAATCACAAAAGAATTAGGTGTAGGGGTTTGTTTGTTTGTTTTTGTTTTTTTTTTTTTTTTTTTTTTGTTTGTTTGTTTTTTAAATCTGCGAGAATAGGCTTATCTTAAAAACAAAACATGAAAAGGTATGGGCTTTGACCAAAAGAGCATTCCTAAAAGCTGAGTCTTGTGGGAATTAGAGCCTTCCAAAAGACCATGTGTGGTGGGTTAACCCTGGCTGAGCAAGTGATGCCCACCAAGCCATTCTATCACCCTTCCCCTTTCCTCTCTTTCCTCCACGAAGCAAAAGGGGAAAGGAAAATAAGACAAAGACAAAACCCTTGTGGGTAAAAACACAGACCGTTTAATTAGAAAGCAAAGCCAAGCAATGCTTGCACAGTGAATCAAAATAAAAAAACTCAAAGATTTATTCTCTACTTCGCATCAGCAGGCGATCTCTGGCCCCTGCCTGGGAAGCAGGGCTCCAAAACACGTGGCAGTTGTGCTGAAGGACTGAGGAGTAACACACCCCCCCCGCCCTCCTTTGTACTAGTTTTATAGTTGAGCTGACATCATAAGGTATGGAATATCCCTTTGGTCAGTTCTGGGTACATTTCCCCCAAGCTCCTGCCCCCACATAGAAAGAGCCTCGGTGCTGTGCGAGCACTGCTCAGCGGTAGTCACAACATGGGTGTTAACAACCCCCTTCTGACTCCCAACACAGAAGCACTGCACCAGGAGGGCTGCTATGGGAAAATCAGCTCAGCCAGACCTGATACAACCACGTCAACAGCAGCCTTAGAAGTAAAGCCTCCTGGGAAAAAGGCTCACAAAATATAGACACAGCTGCCCGACTGTGGGAAGGTAATACTCTCCTGGAAAGAAGTCAGGAAGAGCTCTGGGTGAGTAGAGGACCAAGGAACAGTCAAATTTTTGTGCCAATTTTAAATGAAGTTAACATTTGCTTTGTGCTTAGGGTTTCTAAGGATAAAGTCGGTGGTACAGACTCTGGCCCTGCAAAAAGGTATGTCTTTCACTGCATCAACAAAATGCTAAAAGATCTGTGGTTCCAGTCATGATACTCAGGAAAGAAAACAGAGTGGATATTTCTGAAGGTCATTTCAAGAGTTACATCACAGCAACTCACTGGCTAAACAACTAACTTTACACTCTAGCAAAGGACTACTAAATACTACCACTGAAATCCATTTGAAAAGTCTGAGTGTTTTTAATGCAATGTGTAAAGTCAAATCTTAATGGCCTCACACACAGCATAGCTGTTCAATTGCCACGTTATGAGCACACTGTGTATACAAGCTCCCTAAATTAAGATGCCTTTTAATCTCAGTGGAGGGCTAGTATGATTTTCTGTATTGTCTAACACCATTTATAAGCAGAAGCCACAATGGCAGAGCATCTGACTGCTCTGCCTTAGTAGGTTACTGTAATTATCACTTTAAGCTTGGAATGGGATGTACTGTACTGGCTAACAAGGGCTGAAATATGAAATTACATATGAACAACCTGAGGAAATGCAAGGGCTATGTTTTGGAAATTCTCCAGAGAATCTGAACAAAAACTAATGACTTTTCCACAATAAGCTAAGTCCCAGTGTGATAAGGACTAATGATGTGTTTCTAAGTGATATAGAAAGTTCTGTTTGGTAGCTCTGCATTTACAGAGGTCATGTCTCCATTCTGAATGGAGCAGGTCTGCTTCCTGATATTTGCTACTGATTATTACTTTGATGCTTTCCCTTTTTCTAATTACTTTTAAAGGGCTACAAGGCAGCAATGTTGTTAGGAAGCAGAAGTCAAGCCTGGGAGGAGAGGGAAGCAAAGTGTCATGATAGATGTGAGGTCAAAAGAGTGTATGCCTCCCTGTATGCCTGCAGGCTTTGAGCTCATGGGCACACCCGGTTTTGGGCAGGTCATGCCCTGGGCTATTCTGTGATATCTAATGTGAGGCACCTTTGCAGAAGAATTTGTTGTTCGTCCATTTTTGGTCACTGTTAATTTTTATCTGGCTGAAAGAGCTCCATTTTGGCTGTCATCATTAATCTTCTGCTGTCTTTCCCTGTCCTCACCATTCCTCTTAATCTTTCTCAGCTTAATCTACTTCAGTTTTAACAAGAAATAATTATTAGCCTGGCACTGAGGGATGTTGGTGGGAGGACTCCGGGTGACAGACAATTCAATAGAGGTAAATTCATGGTGGATGTCCCCACTGAGCTATGCTGCCACCATATTCAGCACCGGCCAGATTGGTTCAGTGACTGATGGGCAACTCAGTACATAAGAGCAACAAAACATCAACTCTTGATGAATTTTAAGGTCACAGATTAAAGGAATAGCCACTTACTTCAGAGTATATTTTAAGAGTCACTAGCTCCATAAATAGTCAGCCTGAGTTGTTGTCTTAACACCTTACTGGAAAAGCATAATAGGATTCCAGTGAGGAACAGGTTGAACTGTTGTTGAAAGGAGTTAAAGCCTCATGGTAGGAACCCTTATTTCGTAGTAGTCAGATTAAAATCTGCTGTGCTAATAGCCAAGTTCTGCAGTAGGCTGGCTGTCTATGGAAAGATTAACTTTAGCTGCTGACCTCAGATATTAGTGACAACAGACTGAAGGGATTTTATTTTATTTTTCTTTAGATGAACTATACATAGCAATTCACTGGGACTGTTCATTTTTAATGTTTAGTTTGCATATTACTCAGGTGTCAACATTTTTTTTTTCTATTCTAGTCTTCCCGTGGCTGAGTATAGCAAGGGAATATTTGGAGGAAATAAAAGACACAGCAAGGTGTCTCTTAGCTGTAACTACTGTCATTTTGGCTGGCGCTGCTCTTTGAAATCAGGCTTGTGGGATGTTACAGGTGTGGCACCAAGGGCCTCACCTCAGATAGAGTTCTGATCCTCTGTGCAGCTCTGCCTCAGTGTCTTCCCATTCTTAACTCAAATATTTTTTTGGTAATATTTTTTTCTAAATAAACAAAAGCAACCATTTTCTGTTGCAACATGACACCTCAGAATAACATGGGAGTCTCTTCTGTTCCAGACCTACAGAATTTCATTGTTCCTCCCCAGCTATTTGTTCAGGTGTGCATCAGGTGTTCATACACTGCGGAGCAATGCCACAGTATCTGCAGCATTCACTGTCCGTATGCACGTACAATGAACCATATAGGTACTCTGAATGGCACAATTACTGATATGCCATCACGTTTTTGCTTGCAAGCAATACAGCTTCGTCTGCCTTTTCTTTCCATTCTCCTTCATTTCTTTCAAACTGTATAAATGTGATATCTGGATCAATTATTTTGTTGTGTTAGACAAATGCAACACAATGGACTTGGGTGTGCCTCTAAATTCAGCACAAAACATCTGTTGTGTGGGCATCATGGTGTCCAGGAATAAAACAGCATATAAAGTGGTTGCCATTCAGCTCTCTTATGTACTCTTTAACACTTTATGCAGATCTGCAGTTTGGTGGCTACAGTTACAGCAGTTTATATCAAATTATGCAAATGTGTATTGCTTAGCTTTATAACGTGTGGATCTGAAAAACTCTTTCAACAATAAGCGTGCACTGAAGAGTTTATAGCAGCCACTCTGCCAAATTACTTTTCTGCTTTAAGAATTCTCTTCACTCCCTCTACAAGTCATGCAGAGCATACATGACTTAACTCAATGACTTTGTATTCCAGATTAGTAAAAAAAAAAAATTAACTGACAGCCATTACTATTGTATTTGCTACAAGTAAATGAGCAAGTTGGTAAAAGAAACACAGTTTATGTTAAATGGTGCTTTGAAGATTATACCAAGACTTTTTAAAAAGTCTGATTGCTTTTGCTTAATCTTTTCTTCAGCTTTCTCCAATTAATTAACAAAATATGCCATACCATTTATTCAACAAGATTCTATGTTGACATTGCCAATCAAATCAGCTTTTATGATTAAAACCTCTTCAAAAGTAATAGTAACTTGGAAATAAATGGATGCTTTTCTCAGTAAATGCAGTATGAGGGCCACAGCTGCCATATTTCATCAGCTTTTAATCATATTACAGTGCTCTTTGAAACATGTATCACTATGACTTCTGACCATCTCTTAACATATTACCAAGGTATCTAAATGTTTCGGTATGTTTATCCTGCTGCAATGGCACGGACTAAACTACCTAGATTACATGTCATTTTCATTAGCATTAATAAAATAATTAGTTTTTGCCTAGACCGATAACATCATTTTTGCAGAAGGTGAGATGGGGCTGGATTTAGATCTGAACTTTCATAAGAACCTTCAGATCAGCTGCTGAGCTGATAGGAGTGACCATAAGGAGTGTCTATAGGGCAGTCAGTAAGCATCAGGTAAAGTCTGTTGGCACACTTCACAAAAAAGCCTGCAGCAACACACAGAGGTTGAGCAGAGCTAAAAGGACAGAGTACTACCAGGACAGCGACTGGGAGAGGAAAGACTACTGCATCCTTTCCATGAAAAGGCAGATGACTACACCTTCATTGAAGAGAAGCTATGCCTTGGGGGCTCTCTAAGGACCAAGGACAAATAGGTTAAGTGCCAAATGTCCTTGCTTTCTCTCCTTCCAAAACTGAAGCCCTTTACTGGA